CAATGTTTTGATCTATCCGCTAAAAACTGCTAACAGGTAGTTATCAATCAAATACTTTTAGAGTGGCGCCGCGCCGACGACCACATGTGATCGACGCCTCACAGTAAGCGAAACGAGTGAAGTGAGGCGGAGTATCACAAGAGGTGAGGAAATCGACAAGTTTTAAAAAATGACAATCACACGCCAGTCGGAACACGTACCGCTGATTAGTGTTGCTGCAGTGACCTACGGCTAATTGTTGACGGTCAACTGCGTGTTAAACAGTTTGATACCGGACTGGACCAAACCGTTGGCGGTCCCCACTGTCTCACCAACTGTTGGTACAGACGAACAGACGTCGTATAGCACCACAATGTACCGTCCTGCACACGTGTTGGTCAGCAATCAAGTGACCGTTATTAGGCAAACTGCTCATCGTTCATAATGTTGAGCAAAACACATTAAACGATTACTTCCACAACGAGTGGTCAGTGTTGATGGCACTGCGCTGGCGGTCAGCTTTGGCGTGGTCATTTTCAAGGGCAATCTTAAGTTAACAGTCGTTTCCTGCGTCATGCCATTGGCGGCTGTCCGGCAGAAGTTCAACAACTGACTAGGGAATATGATGTTACCGCGCTGTTAAACAATAGTTGCGCGAAATGTTGACCATAACCGCTGAACGGGTCGCAGTTGTTGCAGCGCTTAACAGCGACCCGCTGGACGGTCGCTAAGCCGAATGCTTCTTAGGGGATGTTTTGACTAATGTTGTGAGTGTATGGAAGGAGCCGCGGGGTTGGTAAACATTATTCGCCGAAGCATGAAGTGCATCCAAGCCATGGGATAGCGACAGTTTAAAGTTTCTAAGTTGTATCGACCAGCTTTTATGGAAGTAGAGTGAGAGAATGAAGCACTCACACGCTAAATAACTCAGCCTTGTGCGGACTTGCCTCACTCAGCACTGAGCATTGCCATGTAGAACTGGTCAGTAACTTTGTCGCGCCTCCTTAGACCAGGCGTGGGTATTCGATCACCGGGCATATGACTATATTTGCAGTTCGTGGAAACGACCAGCCGCAGCTTGCTGGTCAGTTTACGCAAGACGATGACCATGTTGTACCC